ACAACGAACCAAATTTAGGCTTATGTACTCCAAGAATGAAGTGAAAGAAAATCAAAATAAATGAAATGATTTTGATTTTGGATAGAAGAGAGGATGAGAGACGTTTTGCATATCAAAATTGTGTGGAATAGGACACCCAAAGGGTCCTATTTATAGACCATGAAAGGGTGTGGACGAAATGGTTGAGGCCAAACCATGCACCCTTTCCAAATAATGCACCTTTATGAAAAGGTGTCTATTCACTGATTTTCGTCCTTTTTCGTAATTTCTCATTCATCTGATATTGGTTTTCGAAATGCCAAATATACCCTTCAATACATGCAGAGAAATCAAAATTCTCTTTCGGGGGCGCTGCCCCCTCGACCCCCGCGACCTGACCGGGCAGGTCGATCCCCGTTTGTGCGCCCCGAAGCGACGAAGTGGCAAACAATTTTGCCTAAACGGATTGAGTCGAGTTTTTGAGTATTTGGCCGAAGTTTTTTCAATTCTCGATTTATTTAACCAATATCCAACAAATGGGAGGTCAGCTTGGACCGAAGATGTAAAAATCGTGGTGCGCTATGGCCCTTGGTGAAAAGATCTGCTACTTGGTGCTCAGTAGGAACAAATTTAATTAAAATATCTCCATTAACAACTTTGTCACGTACAAAGTGATAATCAATCTCAATGTGTTTTGTATGAGCATGAAATGCGGGATTCGAGGCCAACGTTAAGGCACTAGCATTATCACACCACAATGTTGGAGGAGAAGGAAGTGGAACTTGTAACTCACATAGTAACATTCTTAACCAATATAACTCCGCAGTAGTAATGGCCATTGCCCTACATTCAACCTCGGTGCTTGAACGAGAGACCACATGTTGCTTTTTAGCATCCCAAGAGATTAAGCATGAGCCCAAAAATATACCAAATCCAGTTGTTGATTTTCTATCATCGAGATTACCTGCCCAATCCGCATCACAAGATGAATGTTCCCTTTTTTATAGAAGACACCATGGTCAACCATCCCTTTTAAGTAGCAAAGAACTCTCTTAGCCGCAATCCAGTGAGCTATGGATGGTGAGGCAAGATGATGGCACAGTTAATTCACAGAGAAGGAATTTCAGGTTGTGTAATGGTACAATATTGGAGGGCACCTCCTATATGTCTGTACTGAGTCGGATCAGTAAGTGCTTTCCCAGCTGTTTTGGACAATTGAGAGCCAGCAACAAATGGAGTCGACTAAGGCTTGGCGCCAATCATTTCAACTCAGGTAAGAACATCAATAATATATTTGGCAGACACAAATGAAGTCCAGAGGAATCTCGAGATGCTTGAACGCCAAGGAAAAATGCAAGAGGACCAAGATCTTTAACTGGGAAGATCTTTTGTAATGCGAGAATAACTTCCTAAATAATGAGCATGAGTGCCTGTAACAAGAATATCATCCACATAGATAAGAATATAAATGTGTATATCAGAGGCATGACAAATAAATAATGACGAGTCCATTTTAGAGCCAAGGAAACCAAAGTAGTCGGCGAGAACATTTGATAGGCGAGAGAACCTCGCCCTTGGTGCTTGCTTAAGACCACAGATTGCCTTGTTCAGAGATCATTACATAATCTAGATAGGTAGGATCCACAAATCCTTGTGGTTGTTCCATAAACACTTTCTCTGCAAGAGTTCCATGAAGAAAAGCATTAGATACATCAAGTTGACGAATAGGCCAGTCAAATTGAGTAGCTAATGCTAATAATAATCTGATAGTTGTGGGCTTGATCATAGGACTAAAGGTTTCGTGATAGTCTACCCGGCTCTGTTGTTGAAAACCTTTAGCTACAAGTCGAGCCTTAAATCGATTATTGGTGCCATCAGCCTTCTGTTTTATTTTATATACCCATTTTGACTAAAAAAATGTTGCAATGAGGTGGTCTAGGACAAAGAGTCCATGTGTTATTAGAAATTAGCGCATCAGATTCTTGCTTCATGGCGTCTTGCCACTTAGGATCTTTGGCAGCACTATTGTAATTTGAGGGCTCCATAGTTCTGCAAAATAGATGAAAATGCCATTATGGGATGTCAAGTAGAGTGATAGAGGGTAAACTCTGGAAATGTTTTTGGTTTAAGTAATCATGTCTGTGATCTAGTTTGCATGGGATGGACAGAGACGAAAGGCACGATAGGCATTGCTTCACTGGATTGTATTGATGGAGGAGATGATATTTTGGTTGAATTTATTTTGGAAAAGGGAGAAATATCATTGTTTGTTTTGGTGGGAGAGAATATTGTAGGTGAGTGGGAGAGATCTTGATTGGAGTAATGAGGTGATGATGTTGTTGGAGAGATGGGTGTGGTAGGGTCAACTGTGGAAAAATTAGATATAACAGATAAATGAGGTAAACCAGGGAAACTCACCTCCATTGCAGATGAGCCTTGTGCTGTGAAGAGGTAGTGGGCAATGCTTTATCCAGTCCTGGGAAGAGAGATTCATCAAAGATCACATGGCCGGAGATGTAGAATTTTCTAAAGAAAGGTTCAAAACATGTGCAACGTTCTAGTTTATGTTTAGTGTATGGTCTAAGAAGTGGATAACATCGACAACCAAAGCTTTTGAGAAATGAATAATCTGGGGCTTGATTGAACAACTTTTGGTAAGGAGAGATATTTTCAAGAACTGGTGTGGGAAAGCGATTAATGAGATAAACCGCCGTGGTAAAAGCATTGACCCAAAGTTCTTTAGGGAGCCGAGAATGAGTAAGTAGTATAATGCCAATTTCTAGGATGTCTCAATTTTCTCTCAGCGATACCATTCTGTACTGAGGTATGAGGGCATGATTTTCTATGTAAAATGCCATGTTGGGATAAAAACAAATGAAAAGGTGTGGAATTAAATTCTCCACCCCCATCAGATTGAAATTGTTTAATCTTATGAAAGACAAGATTTTCTGCCACACATTTAAATTTAATGAAAGAATAACAAATCAGATTTTCGAGCAAGTGGATAGATCCACGTAAATCGGGAGAAATCATCTATGAAGGCAACAAAATAATTGCAACCATTTAGAGAAGTAATTGGTGCAGTCCAAACATCTGAGTGAATTATTTCCGAAGGATAAGTGCTTTGATGGGATGAGTGGGGAAAGGGTAATTTCTTGCTTTTGCCAAGCTGACATGATTCGCAAATTCCAGTCAATTTATTCTTCTCAATTAATAAAATAGGTAAAGAGTGTGAGTTTATTATAGATGACACAATGGGATTTGAAAGGTGTCCTAGTCTAGAATGCCATCCGAAAAAGCTAGTTTTTACTCTAAGGAGAGCTACTGGTGCTGATCTTTGGAGTTTGACTGGATATAGACCATTCTCACTATGCCCTTCAAGCAGTAGTGCCCCCGTCCGTGATTCCTTCACATAAAAATGAGAGCAATGAGTACAAAATATCAATCATTATCTTGACAAAAACGTTGAATAGATAATAAATTGGTAGATGGAGATGGGCAATGTAAAACATTAGATAAACAAAGATTTGATGTTGGGTGAGAAAAGAATGTTGAACCAGTGTTTGCAATCTGGAGCCCCTCTCCATTACCGACAACAACTGAGTCATATCCATGGAAATGTTGATGCTTGGTTAGGTTCTCGACCGTGGGAGTGATGTGGTTGTTTGCCCCACTATCTGCATACCAAGTTTGTTCTTCAATCATGGCATTGGACTAAGCAACAAGAGCGGCCAACTGATTAGGAGGATGACGCCCTTGATAGGCGTAGTCCATCCGATGAAAGCAATCTAAAGCTTCATGGTTGTTACGACCACAAATCTGGCATGTGGATTTTGGTTTGTTGAGAAGGGAAGGAAGCCGTAGTCCTGTAGTTGGCTGGATAAAGAAGGCAGGTTGCTGTTGAGATGGTGAACCATGAAGTAAATTCAGGTTAGAAAATTTTGGCTTGCAAGTATGTCAGCCACGAGAGCCTTGAGGATACCCTTGCTGCCAGTGAGGCGTGGAATGACGAGGTTTGTCAACATAAAGAGCAAAGCCGTCAGCCTCAGAAGGAGGAGTGAATTTCTGTTTATGGAGAAGCAGCAATTCATGGCCAAGTAGCTCAGCTTGAAAATCTTTGAAGGTAAAATTCTTATCACATTGTGCTAAGGAGAATGCCATGATAAATGAAGTGAAGGATGGGTTGAGACCACTCAAGATGAATGAAATAAGATCAAAATCATCCAAAGGTTTCCCAACAACGGCCAACTGGTCAGCAAGAGCCTTGGCTGACTCAAGATACTCAGAGCATGTCTTCGAGCCTTGTTGAAGGGTTTGTAATTGTCTTTTCAACTGTCATACGTGAGGGAGATTAGGATGCAAAGCGGGATGTAAGATAAGCCCACACTTTCATAGAGGTGTCCAAACCATAAACAGTGGAAAGCACCTTGACAGAGTAGCGTTGATCCAGTTGAGGAGATACTGGTCTTTCTTAGTCTAGATTACAAAATCTGGATTAAGAGTGGTAGCGGGTGCACTAGGGGCAGTAGAAATATATTGAGGAGGGTACAACACAGATCCGTCAACGATGCCCAATAAATCATGGCTACGGAGGATGGGTAGAAATTGAGATATCCATAGCAAGTAATTGGTTTCATCTAGTTTAATAGAGACCAATTGGGTAACATTTGGATAGGTAAATGTGGGGGAGGAAGTGGCAGACGAAGATACGATGTTGATGTCAACAGTAGTGGTTGAAATGGCCATGAAGGAGGTGTTGGATCGAGAATTGGCGTGAGCCTGAGATGCTCTGATACCAAGAAAGAAAAGGTGGTAGGAGAATAAATATTGAAAGAGGTAATGCTGGAGAAAAAAAAAAACTATATTTTCAGTTTGATGATTTACACTACAGCACTTATGTATATATACATGTTTAGCAGTAACTGATTCCCTAAATTTAAGATTTACAGTCAACAATTAGACGTTATTTTAGGCTGCTCCTGTTGGAATTCCTTGCAATCAGGCAAGTAATCTGTTGGAAATTATTGAGGCAAGTAATCTGCTGGAGAGGATTGAGGCAAGTAATCTGCTAATTCCAAGAAGTATGCTTGAGAAGACTGGGGCTGCTGATTGATATTTTCCTTAACATACATACATACATATATGTACTTTGATCATTAAAATGATCATACTGCTTATATTTGTACTTTGATCAAATAAATTTGTTGGATAATAGAACTATATGCTTCGAGAATATAAAATTCATTAAGGAAGTTAGCCGTCATTCTTTGAGTGTCGTCTTATTGCATTGCAACGCAACAATACCAAGCACGCTTAGATGGAAAATAATAGGCTCGTGCCCACAAGCTAACTATAATATGAATGACTATGATGTTAGCACAATGCATAGCAATGCTTCTACATGTGAAAATAGCAATCCCCAAGCAAAAAATAAAAATTGTTTTGTTCTTAAGAGTAATGATTTTGAATTTGATTTGATACATTTACATTATTAGCCAAATCTTGGGCAATAGAATGTTAAACCGTTATCCCAACTAGCAACTATATAAAAAAGAGGGGGGGGGGGGGTCAAATTTAGGATGTAAGTTCACTATCATTATAAACACAAAATTTTCTTTAGTTTATAAATTTGGAAATTTTGATCGTAATTGAATATTTGAGCAAATAATCTCGCTACTCGTGTTATGAGTGGTGCAATTAACACACATGCTGCCATCTAATTAATACCATAAAATTTTTAGGTCATCTAACTAGGATAAGAGAAATCACAAATTTCATCCTAAATTCATTCCAGATATTGTTGGGAATTCAATCCCAACTTTTGGTAAGGATAGTTTACTAATCAATTTGTCTCGAGAACAAGTACTAATACATAATATTTCATGAAATTGAAGAATCTTCCATCTCTCCAATGAATGTCTATTCAAATTCTCAAGAATTTTGGCACCAATAGAGCATCTCAAGAGACTCCTTAAATATAAAATATTCTTTATTTTAGAGAGTCAATACTTAAAAATGAGTTTCAAAATATTATCTAATTTAACTTTTTAAAGTATAGAATGTGTTTGACTCTCCAAATTTAAAGAGTCAAACACACTATCTATTCTTAATGTAGAATGATTGCATTTAATACATTACAAATTTCAATACTCTATAATTTAAAATTTTCAAATTACATTTGAATTGATTGATCATTAATATATAAAAAATTATATTTAAATAAAATATGTGAAGAAATTATTAAATGTTTATTGGAAAAAATAAAATAAAGAATCAAAATAGAGAGCTTATTAGAGTGTGTCAAAAAAATTATTTTCTAAATTTAAAGATACTCTTTATTATATATAAGATGGTCTTTATAAATAGAGAGTCTTTTGGAGATGCTTTTACTAATGTGTGATGATCTCATCAATAATCCTAAAAAATAAATTTTAATTTTTTCTCTATTTAAACTTTTTATTTAATATAATACATGCTCCAGTTCTAGTAATATTGGTTTCATACCAATAATAACACACATTTTAGAATCAAGTAGGTTCACTTTTATTTTAGTGGAGAAAAATTACTTGAAATACCAAAGTTTGTCTTCTATATCTTACAATATTGGTTCTTTTGGAGTCTTCAATCATATGTGTAACTTGACATTAGATTAATTTTATGTTTCATTGTTCATCCATATCTTCTTCATACAGTTAGGGGCGAAGACAGGATTTTAGTTCAGTGCGGGCAACATTTTTTGACACCGACTCCATCCATCATGGTTAGCTCAAACCCCGCGGGAAAGCCCGCCTCCACTTCGCGGATGGGACGAGGGCGAGATGAACATTGAGGTTTTGGTCATGGATTTAATGATGATCAAAGAATAAAACAATATTACTACAATACTAAAAATGACATAGTTTATATATTAAACTTGTTTCTTAAGAGTTTTCATATTTTGATATCGTTGTACAATAATTTCATTATCGAGTTTCAAAAATATATCTTACATAAATAATTGTGCTATCATTCATCCACTGATTACCCATCCAATTGCGCAATCTATCCTTTATGGTGCTCATTGCAAAAAAGACTCTCTCCGCAGTAGCGATTGCAACCGGTAAAATCAATGCTAAAGTCAAAAGTTCTAAACCAATAGATATACCTTATATTTCTTTGTCAATACTAACTTCTCCGCAAGATCACCAAGGTCATTCAAACCTTCAATCTTTGTTTGAGCACATGTCAAATATATAAGTTTCAAGTGGATCGTTAAGTACAATGACATCTACTGCAAAGAAATCTAATGAATAAAGCTCAGCAAGTCGAATCAAGCTTTTCGTGTTGAAAGAAGAAAACGAATCTTGTGGACATACACAAGCTATACAAAGGAGTAACTCTATATTTACCTCCACGAAACAATCATTCAATTCTTGAAGTTGTAAATCGATGACAGACTATAACAAATATACTCGATAATTATAGAAATTTGAAATTTTTGGAGGATAATGCTGAGGGCAACTACGAAGTGCAAGACATACAAGCATATCATCCATGTTGGATACATCAAGGTAATGTTGTTGACGGAAAGAACACAATTCTTCCAAAAAGGAGTCCCACCCTTCATCTCTCATTATTTGGAGTCGTCGTTTGCACAATCTCACCAATTGTATTGCATTCATGATATCTTGATCTTTCCTTTGCAATGCCTTTGACAGTTCATTTGACATCCCTAAGATAATTCTCATAACTCTAGATTAAATGCAAAATCTAATTTTTGTATCGCTCCAATAAATTTGTTGCATCAAATCTTTGATCACAAGAACAAGATTCATCTTCAACAATCATTGCAAGTACATCTAAAACAGAAGAGAACATGGCAAGCAAGTTGACCAAAGAATTATAATGTGAACTCCATCATGTATCAACATAGCGCTGAAGGGTCGTTTCTTGATTAAGTCCTCATCCACTTAAAATCTCACATTTTTCTAATGCCTCAACAATAAAGTTCGATTGTTTTTCTCGAATAAGATCACAACGTATGAAAGATGCTCCAATAGTATTTACCATGTCACCAACCACACAAAAGAAGTTAGTAATAGGGATGTTCTTCTTTGCCGCAGCCACTAGCGCATTGTTAGAGTTGATGAGCAAAACAATGAATGTAAAAGACACATGGACTCTCCTTCAAAAGGAGTGCTTTCAGACCATTAAACTTACCTTGCATATTACTTACTCGATCATAACCTTGTTCTTTCAATCTAGACATGCTCAAGTTATATCTAGAAAATACCTTATCAATTGTAGCCTTAAGTGATAGAGCCATGGTACTTGTAACATGTTTAATCTCTATGAAGCATTCATTGACATGTCCACTATTGTCTACATAACGTAAAACAATAGACATTTGCTCCTTCATTAACACATCACGAAATTCATCAACTAGAATAGAAAATAGTGAATCGCCAACATCTTTGATAATAACATTGATCGTTTCAACAGCACAAGTACTTACTATATCCTTTTGAACATCAGGTGATGTCAATTTGCAATTTTGAGGAGCATTTCCCAATGTGACAGCATTAATAACTTCATTATGAGTAGCCAAAAATTCCAATTGGACTAAGAAATTACCTGGATTGAGAGAAACCTTAGATTCATCATGACCCCAAAATGAGTGCCCTTATCGCAAAAGAATTCGAGCATAATCAATGGATGCATTAAGAAGGGTAACATATGTACTTCTTGCTTGCTCTGACTGTTTGTACAAAGCTGATTGAATGTGTTGCTCTTGATTCATCAACACTTTACACTTAATGCGAGCTTTATTATGTGCACTATCATGAAGTCTAACATGAGTATGAAGCCTTTTTTTTATTTTCCCAATATGTAAAACCTTCGCCAACAAAAGACTCACCTTCACCATGCTTTCCAGAACTTATTCTGAAAAGATAACAATACAAACAATAAGCAACATTCTTTTCTACACTATAATTTAACCAAGTACTGAACTCTTTAAACCAGAAAGGATTGAATCATCTAGCTGTTACTTCAAATTGTCGTTTTGGAAATGTTGTTGGGGTTGACAAGAACCCTTTAACATATATGCTCTTCGAACTTGATTTCGGATGTTAGCATTGTAATCCAAAATGGGGATCCTTAGACCAGGATCAGTTGGAAGTTTTGTGACATCAAATTCCAAATTATTCGATATCCCATCTTCAACATTCCTTTTTCTATGAAAGTGTCTATTCATTTGATATCTAGATTTAAACATTTGATATCCAATTATTATTGGGAGTGAGTGAGAGTAATTCATAATGACAAAAGGATCACAAAGAGTAGAAGCAACTTAAAAAATCCAGTGCAATTCACATTTCACAATTTCAATTCACTGTCCAATTCACAATTTCATATAATGAATTCACAGTACAATACCAATATATACTATCAATCCAGTGCAATTCACATTTCACATAATCAATTCATAGCCCAATATTCCAATTCACAATTTCACATTATCAGTTCACTGTCCAATTCGCAATTTCACAATTCATTTATACTATTTCCAAATTTTAAGCAACTTGAACTTACAATTTCACAGTCCATTGGAAGCCTACGCCTGGAAGTCTGCTTTCTATGTGACTGTGCCTCTTTGAGCAATCAAAGGCTAATTTCATTTCACATGTTAAACAAAAAGAATATATCATTTCAATTTACACAAATTGAAATAACACCAAATAAGGGAAAAAATTTAAAATCACTCTGAACACTACTGGAAAATTGAAATTGGGACTTCACCTTCTTCTAGCTTCTTCTTTTGCTAGGTTGGTTGCCTTCGATTGCTAGAAGAATAGTCGATTTCTGTTGGCGATCTAAGGAGCGGAGGCGGATCGATGTGGAGTGACTGCAGTCGGAGATTAGAGCGCTTAATCTAGTAGATGCGGGATGTGGGCCTGCTACTAGCAACAGAGATCGGACTGGAACGGCTGGCAAGTGGCAATGATCGACATCGACAGAGAAGAATGTGGCAACCAGTCCAAATGAACTCACGAGAGGCACGAAGGGTTTTGATTTCAATTTTCAAATGGATGAATTATGAATGGGTGACAGGTTAATTGATTTTTGAGGGGAATGGGTCAAGGTCACTGGGTCAGTAAATGGGTCGTGGGCATTGAGCTTTTCTTTGAGCTAGAAGACTGGGAATGAGCTAAAAAAAAAAATTATAGGCATGTGGAGTTGGGCCCAAAAGTTCAGTGCAGCATCTGCCCACACTGAACCTAACTGGGCTCCGCTCCTACATACAGTTATGGTATATAAGCTCAACAAAATGATTGAGATACAATATATGCCCATAATAGGCGAGTGGACAAATTATCAGTTATTCGTAATGATATCACCAATAAATGCAATAATTTTCAATAAGATAGCTAATAATTTGGATTGTTTAAGCTCAAAGAATGTGAAATCATTCATATTCATAATTGTTACAATCTCACAGCTAAAAAAAATTAGGTAACACAACATTACTGGACAACAATTAATTTAACGACATCTAAATAAATATGACGAACTAATTTGTTAATCAATGTAATATGTTATTCTAGAAAATATCTATTCTACTACTGAAAATAGAAAAAACCTAAAATAGGTTATTCCACTACCTTGCCATTAATTCTTCTAAAGATTCAATAGCGCAGATAAACATTTAATTTCATAAGTTTCAAAACATTTCACAAAAAAATATGTATTCAAATCTTCTTGTGATATATCTCTAGAATTATCATCTCTAAGACTCAGTTATTGAGTTTGTACTTCTTTGAGAGCATCAAGTCACGGACCTAGAGAACTCCCCTACCCATGTGGCATGGCAAGATTGCTCATCATGGGTCTATTGCTATATTCTTCGGAAGTGCACTAACGATGTCCTTTATTCAGGTATGATGGCAAGCTTTCTATGCCTTTATATTGTGCTATGTTACATATCTTAGCTTACCGGCCGCATGAGTAGAGAAGGCTACCATAGGGTATCCAGTAACCTCAAGGGCTGAATGGGTGGTCTGTGACATTTGGTATCAAAGCAGGTCCGCTTTGAACATTGCATTGTTAGTTTACTTGAGACTAACGGCCTATGTTCCTGCAGAGAAGATTTTGGGACTGCCAACATGTGGCAAAGCGATTGGCAAATAAGTAGAATCAAGGATGGAAAGCTTCAAGAATGATAGATGCTGGGGGCATACATTATGTAGTTTTGTCGGCTGCATGAACGTTGTTTCGTAAGTACACGATAAAGGCATTGTGGTGGAAATTGAATAGTGGGGGTATTTGTGGATATACTATGACATGCGTGGTGATGCAGGGCTAGAAGAGTCGTTCGCTCAAGGACTAATGCAGAGGTGCATAGGGTAAAGGCAGTATCGAAGGTGGTTGTACAAGGTATTGCGAAAAGAGGTGCATGGGGCACTGCAGGCGCTCGTACATCATGGGGATGATACCCCAATTTGGAGAAATTTTTTGACCTACTAACTTGGAGGGAGCATCCAATGCACGATGAGGCAAAACACACGTCCGTTACAATGGCATTAGCGGATTGAAGAGGGAGTGAGTCACGGACCTAGAGAACTCCCCTATCCATGTGGCATGGTAAGATTGCTTATCGTGTGTTTATTGATATATTTTTCGGAAGTGCACTAACGATGTCCCTTATTCAGGTATGATGGCAAGCTTTCTATGTCCTTATATTGTACTATGTTGCATATCTTAACTTGAAGATCGTATGTGTGGGAAAGGCTGTCTTAGGGTATCCTGCAACCTCAATGGCCAAACGGGCGGTCCCTGTCATGTAAACCTGGCTTTGATACCTGCCCGTTCCCAAAATTTGTAGATTGTTTCAACTTAGAATTGTTTCATTGATAAATGTGTGAAGTTTTGTTTATTTTTTTATTTTTGGGCATTCTTCACTTGTAGGGTAATTTTTTTTTCTTTTTTTTTAACTAAACGTGAAGTACTTTAATCAAAATCTTCATGTTATCAATAAACATATTACAATTTGTTTTTATACAACTTTCTCTCTATTTATTTTTTGGAAGTCAGGAATCTATTTATATTAATGGATAATCTTTTTCGAGAAGAATAAATATTTTTTCCATGTGGGTTATATCATCTTGTTGTTATACCAATCGTATGGAGTGGCTATGTACTCACTTCTCGTAGAACTAGTCATGATAAATTATCGAGATTGTTGCATTATTCATTCATCCGCTTAATGACATTATACTAAGATCCATTCGAATAGTAATTTGCCCTATCGGTAAATCATTATTTGGTAGGGTACTTAAGACAACAAAGATAATAGTTAAGTGCTTGTCACTTGGTGGCCTAATTATATCATCTCGGTAGTGGGTCATCTTAAGAATTTTTTTGTTTTGTCATGAATAAGAGCCTTTTGTGTGTCTTGGGGTTTAGCATAGTGCGTAAGAGTTTATATTGAATAAAACTCTAGCATGGATATAAAGTTGCCTAATGGATATATTTATGGGTGCATGTTTATCATTCTATATGTTTAATAAATTTTCATTGTATTTTCCTCAGCTTATGGCAATGCAACTTTGTCTCTCTCTCTCTCTCTGTCTATCATCAAGAGTCTAACAGGAACCAACTATGAGGATTTTAATTTGGCTATCATGAATTTGTATTTGGCTTTGAGAGTTGATGCACCTACCAAACCCAC